TCTCTGTCTCTCTCATTCTCTCTGTCTCAAATAAATAAAATAAATAAATAAATAAATAAAAATAAAACCTTGTTGCTACCACAGCCCAGACGGGTACTTCCTGCTCCCTGGTCCTGGTGCCATGACATCATCCGTTCAGGGAGGCCAGGGTGATGCCCTGATGGGGGCGAGATAGATGGCCAAGGAGCATGGTGAGCCCCTGTCCGTCTCAAGGACACGCTCCCCCACATGAACCCTGTGCCACGCTGGGCTTCTCGCTGGTTCCCATGGGGGTGCTACTGTTTAGCAGGATGACTTTCGTGGGGACCCGGAGCCGACATTGCTCCCCCTTGCCCCGTCCCGCCCCGGGACTCCATGGGCTCAGGAAGCCAGGTGGGCATGAACACAAGGCAAGTTCCCTCAGGGCGGAGGATTTGGGCCTTCGCGTTCAAGGCTATAACCCCAGGAGCCGGCACATAGAAGGCAATCACTAGTTCTAGAGGGAATCAATGAGTGAATACCTAAAATCTAGAAGATACTGACTCCACCTACCTACTGACCATAATGTGGGGGAACTAACTAACCACTACGGGGCTGGCTGATCTCATCGACCTGTAATGCAAACTCAGATTAAAAAAAAACAAACAACTTATGGTGCACATTGTGTTTTAAAAATAAAGGTTCTTAGGGGCGCCTGGGTGGCTCAGTGGGTTAAGCGTCTGCCTTCGGCTCAGGTTGTGATCCCGGGGTCCTGGGATCGAGCCCTGAGTCGGGCTCCCTGCTCAGTGGGAAGCCTGCTTCTCCCTCTCCCTCTGCCCCTCTCCCACCTGCCCGCTAGTGCTCTCTCGCTCACTCTCTCAAATAAATCTGACTTCAGCTCCGATCATCTCAGGGTTGTGGGATCGAACTCTGCATCAGGCTCTGTGCTTAGCAGGGAGTCTACTTATCCCTCTCCATCCCTCCCCCCACCCCGCTCATGTTCTCTCTCTCTCTGTCAAATAAATAAATAAAGTCTTTAAAAAAAAAACAGATCCACTAAAAAGAGAAAATCAAATATAAGATTATTACAAAGGATTAAGATGAAAATGTCTTTAATCAATAATGGAAAATGCTGGCCACTCTCCAGAAGGTACACTCCATTTAGCCAACCTACACGGAACTTGAAAGGTTGTGCTTGAATTAACTGTTGAGGCTTACTAAGCTGTTTTTCACAAAACGCATTCAAACCAGGCCCTTTGCTGACAAAAGAAGAAAAGCGGCACAGGGCATACAAATGCTGTTTTCTTATTACCACCTTTTCACTAGAGTCATAGAAATCGCTCTCCAAATGTAGCAGGACTGAATGCTCTCCACCACGACAGCGTTAACAACGTCAGATATCCGAGGTGTGTATCCATCAGGCAGCTTCAGAGATTCCAAGGTGAAAAAAATGCTATCATCTATCACCCCATTTCTTCCATGTAGGCTAGTAATGAAGACCTGTAATTACAGATAATAGAAATGTTGATGTAAAAGCAGGGTCCGCTGTAACCCGGCCTGCACCTCCTCGCTCTCGCTTTACTCTGTAGGTCGCTCCATTCCCACCCCGGCCGCCATGTTTGAAACACAGGGAGCGCTCTGCACAATGACCCATGGCGACCCCTACCTCACAGACGCTAAGTCAGAAGCCCTGCAGACCTGGCCCTGGTCGAGGATTAGAAACTCTGCACTAAACACACCACACAATGTCCATTAACCCCTCTGGCAATGGTTGAGGGAGTGAAAGGGGTAGAGCGAGAAAGGAATGTGGTGGCCAACAAAAAGCCATTTCTCCACTTCCTGGGTCACATCCCAAGCGCCATCTGTCCCTTTGTGCAGACCGACTTTCCCATTTATTTCCAGTGTCCGTTCCCCAAGTCACACCCAGCACTTACTGCAGGCTCTGGTCCCCCCCGCCCCACCATGCCATTCATTCTTCCCCCACAATTCCCTCAACACGATTTATTGTCTGTTCTGGTTGCTCTCGGGGCATTTTAATACCTCCCAAGTAGACTACCTAATTGAGATCTTAATTATATGTGTGTTGTATATTATTCTCAGGTTATGTCCGTTTAGAAGCACGGCCTGTTCAATAAGGAAAGAGACTCCTCTTTGGCAAAGAATGGTTTTGCCAACACACCCCGTGGAATCCCGAGCAGCAGCAAGGGTCATTAGAGGAAGGAGAAGCAGAACCAAATAACAAGAGCTACACACAGACAGACTACCTCATGCACATGCTTATGTCTCAGAGGCTTCACCGAGAGGGCCTTTCTGCTCAACGTGTCCGACTGGGTGCAAAACTCAACTTCTACTCGGTCCCCCTGGTAAGGCTCGAAACCTAAAACAGCCACGGAGAGAAACTGAGCTGGAATGATCTCTTAGTCTTGGTAATGTTCAGTTTCACAGTTACTTTGACGTTGTAAGACCCTAAAATAATTTCTGTTACATCGAAAGTATATTTTGAACCTTTTAAAACAGGTAACCTGGAAGTCTTCCTGTCAGAAAGGACGTTTGTAATCCTCTAGGCATTGATTCTCTCACTGGTTTCCCAAAGTCTGTTGGGGAAAAGCCTCAACTGGGCCTCACAGGCCAAGCTCTTTGAGAGCAGCACGGGATTCCTTAAACCATTGGTCATGTTCACAAGTCCCTCCGGAGACACAGGGAAGTACATAAGTCGGGGCACACTGGGTTCAAAACTTGATGCTGCCGCTTACTCAGCTTGCAACCTTGGGCAAGTTACTTACCCTCTATGTGCCTTGATTTCTTCATCTATAAAATGAGAGCATAATTGTAGGACTTACCACAGAGAGTTGAAGGGAGAATTAATCAGTACCTATAAAACTCATAGAACAGTGCCTGGCACATAGTCAGCCCCAAATACACACCACAGCCTAAAAATGGCAAGATTCTGCCAGGCTATCAAGTTGGGAGGATCGCTGGGAAATGTGAGATACTCTAGGTTATGTTTACGTGAAACATTTATAGGAAAACTCAACTCCAATGTCTTGTCATGCAGTGTAGAGATTAGTCTGAATGTTCTTGCTATAGTATAAACCTAATAACTATTTATTTGTTTAATGATTTGGTAACTCCTTTTTTAGTTTTCAATAAACCCCTTTGGCAGCAATGAGCAAAAGAACAGATGCATGTTTAGGGAAAATGAGTAATGAATTAATTTTCCAAGAAAGCTGATGCATACGTGAATTATGTAATTCATCTGGGCTGTGGATTGAATGTGTCCCCCTAAAATTCGTATGTCAAAGCCCTGACCTCCAGGGTGACTGTATTTGGAGATGGGGCCTCTAAGGAAGTAACTAAGATTAAATGAGCTCCTAAGGAGGGGTACCTGGCTGGCCCAGTCAATAGAACCTGTGACTCTTGATCCTGGGGTCATGAGTTCAAGTCCCATGTTGGGTGTAGAGATAAATAAAAAAAATAAATAAATGAGTTCATAAGGAAGGGACCAATCTGATAGGATTAGTGTCCTTGTAAGAAGGGACACTGAGAGCTTTGTACTTGGTAGACTCCCCACCCCTGACCTGAGGCTGAACGCTCAATTCCATTTTAGCATCCTTCACCTAAATGGTTAAGATTTATTGTTTATTCACATAAAAAACACAGTCTTGGACCCATTATTGATGTTTTAACCATCTCCCACAAGCAAACACTCATGGACCTAAACTCTCACATTTTGCCTGCAAAATGGGGCTGATCACCACCATCCTGTGAAGCAGGTCAAAACAAAGGGGATCTTGGGCCCCGAAGCACCCATTTGAGCACATCCACCGACCTATAAACACTTTCACGCCGTGCACAGAATCACACACACGCTCACCCACTCCCTCTCCCATGCTCCTGTCCCACGTGGTCTCCAAATATTCACTTCCCACTCCTTCCTCAACCTACTTATAATCGTTTCTGTCACTATCCCATCCTATTAGAACTGACTGCATCAAGGTTACCTCAGAAGGTTCTCGATAGGATTAAATCTAGTGTAAATTATGCACTTCAGGGTCGCCTGGGGGGCTCAGTCGGTGAAGAGGCTGCCTTCGGCTCAGGTCATGATCCCAGGGCCCTGCAATCGAGCCCCACGTCGGGCTCCCTGCTCGGCGGGAAGCCTGCTTCTCCCTCAGCCTCTGCCTCTCCCCCTGCTTGTGCTCTCCCTCTATCTCTATCAAATAAATAAATAAAATCTTAAAAAAAAACTATGCCCTTCACACAGGACCAGACTGTACCCCATCTGGATCCTACTGGCACTTAGAACCCCATCTCCTATCATCCCTCATTCAGGTCAAACCTCACATACTCACCACACTACCCTGTCCTCCCTTCAGTTCCCACGACAGGCCACGATTTTCCCACCTTAGGACTTTTACAGCGACTCTTCCCTGATTTAGAATATATTCCCCGGCTAACTCCTTCTTCTCCTTCAGGTCCAAGGCTCTTCCTTAGCGAGGCTTGCCCTAATCTGCTCTCAATAGCAAACCCCACCCCATCCCACTCCCAGTAGTACTATCACAGCTCCTGGAGAGTAGAACAATCTGGAACTCTCTTTTGGCAGGGGGCGGGGGCACACTTACTGGTTACCCATCTGAGATCTATCTCATTAGAATGCAAATATTAGGAAAAAACAGTACCTGGAACAGAGCCAGGCACTCAAATATTCTGTTGCATGAACATCAGCAAGAATATACGCTGACTCCCCGTTGCGTGGAACAAGAAAATTTAATGCAATTTTCCCGTCTTTTGGATTCACATTATGTTTTTTTTTTAAAGATTTTATTTATTTATTTGAGAGAGAGAGTGAGAGAGAGAGAGCACATGAGAGGGGGGAGGGTCAGAGGGAGAAGCAGACTCCCCGCCGAGCAGGGAGCCCGATGCGGGACTCGATCCCGGGACTCCAGGATCATGACCTGAGCCGAAGGCAGTCGCTTAACCGACTGAGCCACCCAGGCGCCCTCGCATTATGTTTTTTAAAAATATTTATTTATTTAAGAGAGAGATGGGGGGAGGGGCAGAGGGAGGGAATCCCAAGCAGACTTCCCACTGAGGGCAGAGCTGGTGGTGGGGCTCAATCTCAGGACCCATGAGATCATGACCTGAGCCGAACATGAGTTCATGTTCATGTTTCATGAATGAAATCATGAGTTGGACACATAACCGACTGAGCCACCCAGGTGCCCCAATTCCAATTATGTTCTTGGTTTAAGATTTATTTATTTATTTTAGAGAGAGAGAGGGAGTGTGTTTGTGTGGTGGGGTGGGGGGGCAGAGGGAGAGGGAGGGAATCTGAAGCAGACTCCTCAATGAGCGTGGAGCCCAACATGGGCTTGATCTCATGACCCTGCGATCATGACCTGAGCCGAAATCAAGAGCTGGACGTTGGACGCTTAACCGACTGAGCCCCTCCCGTTATGTTTTATAATTATTTTTAAAGATTTTATTTATTTATTTGACAGAGAGAGACACACAGTGAAAGAGGGAACACAAGCAGAGGGAGGGGGAGAGGGAGAAGCAGGCTTCCCGCTGAGCATGGAGCCCGATGCGGGGCTCGATCCTAGGATCCTGGGATCATGACCTGAGCCGAAGGCAGACGCTTAACGACTGAGCCACTCAGGCGCCACCCTTCCCGCTATGTTTTAAATTGGAACTTGTCTTTTGTCATTTTCATTAGGTTTCATAATCAGTTTAACAGCAGCTATTTTAACAATGCTAATTATGACTGATTAGGTGCTCAGGTCTTTTTAATACACTCTCTTTTTCACCCTCGAGAGGTCTATTACTCTGATTCGCTCAATTTATTTTGCAGCAGAAAGTCCCTTCACCTGTGCTTTGGGCCTGGCCTCTCTTTATGCCTCAGGGCCCTGGTTCCATCGGTCCTTCCTGCTCTCTCCTGCACCTTCAATCCCTACCTTTGGCATTACAAACATGTTCAAGTGTTTACCATCTTGAGAAGAATTCTCCTAGCAAGGCTATGGTTGGTGGTGCGTCCCTGTCGGCACGGTTAGAGGGACCAGGAAATTGACTTTGGAGCTTAGCCATCCCAGGGGCCTTTTCTCCTTGAATTGGCTATTTCTAGCTAAACGTGTCTTAAAATCCCAGCTGCCAATAGATAATCATCTTTGGGGACTTCCACGGTCACCAACTACGGTCAAGTCCTGGCTTTTAAAACCCAGAAAAATTCAGTGGAAAGCTGAACTAACTTCCCCCTTTTATATTCAAGCTACATGGTGGCTGGTTGCGCTTAAACAGGTACAAAAGTTTTACTTCTATTCATCTTTCCAAAGCCAGCCTGGCAGAGGCTGGGAAGGTATAGAGTCCAGCTGGGAAACCATCTTACCCAGGTAGCCTTCCCCAAGTCTCCCCATAGTGGGTAGTCATTCTGTCTTCTCTGCTCAGTGGTGTTGTTTTCATCATGTTCTTTTAATGTGCCCACCTCTCCCAATTAGACTATGAGCTCTTTACAGGCAGGGTTTAATAATAAAGTCTTACTTGTCTTGTCTTGCCAATACCTAGCACTCCATCACAAGCTGAGTTAAACTCAAATAGCATAAACAAATTAACAAATTATTGCTGTAGGCGTAAGACAACAAAATGATAGACCTGATAATTACAAGTGGAATTCAACAACAGTACACACACACACACACACACACACACACACACAGAGAAAGTGCTGGAGGAGGTCATCAAGAGGACGTGACCACCAGTTGACCTATGAGCGGGACCCTGGGGCTCCGAGGCTCCTCACCCCCTGCCCTGTCCTGGGAATATATTCCCACAGCTGGAGGTCGCAGCCTTTAGAGAGTAAGGTGTGGCCGAGACCATCTGGACAATGTATGTGACTGAACCCAATTAAGGCATCTATGTAAACTTTTAACATTCTGGCAGGTGGGTGCAGAGATCTACTCCTTTTGGGTCCCCCCCACAGACAAGCCCTGTATGTAAGTTCCCTTGCTTATTACACCGGCCACCTACCAATCAGGAGTGGCCTACCTCTTTCTTTGGTCTCTCCTTGCCCTCCATGTATGGGGGCCAGTTTGCAAACCAACAGAAAGGTGCAAGGCTATCTCCAAACCTTATTTTAAGGCATTTGAAATATATTTTTTTAAAGAGTATGCCTGTGTGGCGTCTGGGTGGCTCAGTTGGTTGGGCATCCGACTCTTGGTTTCGGCTCAGGTCGTGATCTCGGGGTCCTGGGAACGAGTCCCACATGGGGCTCCGCACTCAGCGGGGAATCTGCTTCGGGATTCTTTCTCTCCCTCTCCCCCACTCCCCACTTGCTCTCCCTCTCAAATAAATAAATCTTTAAAAAAATAAAATAAAAATAAAAAGAATAGCCCTGTATATCTGTAATGTTTTTCAGTTAGATTAGAAATTCAGTGCCTGTATGAATGGAAAAATTACACAAATACTAGCAGCTACATCCAATAAATGAAACGTCAACAAATGATAGCCTGAGTTTTTAAGAACATTATGTATCTGTCCCTTGCTGCACATTATTTTCAATTCCAAAGGCCCACCTCAAGTATCAGAGAGCCTCTGATTGGAGCCAAGGACACTAGAAGTAGTTCCAATCCAAAAATCCTCTTGCCAAATAGCATGTTCTAAATCTGACCCTGGAAATGGTACCTGTAACCATTTCCAGTGCCAATCGATAAAATTAAAAGATAGGTAAAACCTAGTTTTAAATTTTAAAACATGTAAACTGTACCTTTACAAATGACATCTAGGGAGAAGTAAGTTGTGTGATCAATGTAGTTAGCACCTTCCACTACAGAAGAAATACTGCCAAATGAAACTCTAGCGTAGGAGTCTGAGGGTCTATTGCGATGGCAGCTATCACAGAGCGCATCCACCTGTGAGAAAAGGAAACCATTACTGCAAACACAACACAAGTTTAAAAAGCAGAAACATGGGTGCCTGGGTGGCTCAGTCGGTTAAGTGACTGCCTTCGGCTCAGGTCATGATCCCAGGGTCCTGGGATCGAGCCCCAGGTCGGGCTCCCTGCTCCGCGGGAAGCCTGCTTCTCCTTCTCCCACTCCCCCTGCTTGTGTTCCCTCTCTGGCTGTGTCTCTCTCTGTCAAATAAATAAATAAAATCTTAAAAAAAAAAAAGCAGAAACATGCTCAAATCATTGTCGTTCCAGAAGTGGTTTAAACAACTATAATAAACAGTGGTGAATAGATTTCACCTGATGAACATATGGGCATGAGACGATGATACAATAATGAATGAGCTTTATATATTTTATTACTTTATTTTTTAGAGCAGTTTAGGAATACTGAGCTGAAATTTCCCATACATTCCTCCCCTCTATCCTCAGTTTGCCCTATTACTAGCACCTTGCATTTGTTGGATTGGTATATCTGTTCAAGTGATGAACCGATATTGATACAGTATCTTCAACTAAAATCCATAGTTTAAATGAAGGTTCACTCTTTGTGTTTTTCTGCCATATATAGTTTTTTAAGATTTTATTTATTTTGGGGCACCTGGGTGGCTCAGAGTCCTGGGATCGAGCCCCGCGTTGGGCTCCCTGCTCAGCAGGGAGCCTGCTTCTCCCTCTGCTCCTCACCTCGCTCACTCTCTCTCGTTCTCTCACACTTTCTCAAATAAATAAATAAATAAATAAAATCTTTAAAAAAAAGATTTTATTTATTTTGAGAGACAGAGAGCAGGGGGAGGGGCAGAGGGAGAGAGAGAGAGAGAATCTTAAGCATGCTCCACGTCCAGCATGGTGCCCGATGCGGGGCTCAATCTCACGACCCTGAGATCATGACCTGAGCCCAAATCAAGAGTCAGATGCTTAACCGACTGAGCCACCTAGGCGTCCCTGTTCTGTCATTTATTTTTAAAATGTGTTGAAAAACGTATTTTGTGTACCAACCAGGTTCAATGCATTGATAGTTCTAGATTCGAAAGTAGAAGATGCCCTGCAGCAAGTCACAATCCGAGGGGAGTAAAAGACAACAATCATTAATTCAGTGCAAGTTGTGACAAATGGTAAAACCAAGTGCAAATGTAGGCTTCTGGGAAATCCCAGTAGGGAGAGAATTTCAGACTGAAAGAATATAGGACAAATTCTTGGAGAGAGTGGGATATGACATGGGCTGTGAGAGAAAAGAATGATTTTTACCTGGCAAATGGAGGTAGGGTTGAGGACAGGGGTAGGGAGATGGCAAGGGAGGAGAGACAACACATCTCAAGTTAGAGGAACAAGGAAGAAAACTGTAAGATTCCAGATCAGTACACCCAGAGGGGCAGAACATGAGATAAAGTTGGGAAAATAACAGGGGTAGAGAGAAGCTCTAAAAAGACAAAGATTTAATTTATCTACAATAAGGAGGCATTCAAAACCTTTATTATTGGAAGTGCAGTGCCTTCATTTTATATTTTGTTTTTCTTTTAAATTTTTTTTTTTTTTTTTTAGAGAGAGAGAGCATGTGCATGGGGGGGGCAGTGCAGAGGAAGAGGAAGAATCTCAAACAGGCTCCACCCTGAGCACAGAGCCCCATGTGGAGGCCGGAGCGGAGCCTCACGCAGGGCTGAATCCCACGACCCTGAGATCATGACCTGAGCCAAAATCAAAAGTTGGCTGCTTAACCCACCGAGCCACCCTGGTGCCCCTTTGCTTTTCCAATTATACAAATAATACATATTCATTATAGAAATAAATATGAAACACAGAAAGAAGCAAAAACAACTACACATAATCCATAAATCTACTACCTATCTAAAGATAAACACTGGCCACATTCTGGTACTTACCCTGCTCCAGATGTTTGCCCTATGCATAAATACCTATGCACTGTTTTAAAGAAAAATTTAATATTACATTATTAATTTATTACCAAATGATTGCAAATATGTCAACAGACTGTTGAAACATTATTTTAATTTTTTAAAAGATTTTATTTATTTAAAAAAAAGATTTTATTTATTTATTTGTCAGAGAGGGTGGGGAGCACAAGCAGGGGGGGAGCAGCAGGCAGGGGGAGAGGCAGACTCCCCACCGAGCAAGGAGCCCAATGCAGGGCTCGATCCCAGGATCCTGGGACAATGACCTGAGCCGAAGGCAGACGCTTAACTGACTGAGCCACCCAGGTGTCCCTGTTGAAACATTTTTTTTTTTAAAGATTTTTATTTACTTGACAGAGAGAGAGGGGACACAAGTAGGGGGAGTGGCAGAGGGAGAAGCAGACTCCCCGCTGAGCAAGGAGCCCAATGTGGGGTTCGATCAGAGGACCCTGGGTTCATTTTTATTTTTTTCATTTATTTTATTTATTTATTTATTTATTTTATTTTATTTTATTAAGCAGACGCTTAATGACTGAGCCACCCAGGTGCCCCGAAACATTATTTTAAAGGTTCGTAGGGCATCCCATTGAATGGGAGTGCCATATTTATTGACTCAATTCCACATAGTTGAACATTTGGCTTATATCCTAAAACACTGCTACTTGCCTGATTTCTTTCTGTAGGATAACCTCCTAGGAGTGGAATTTCATGTTCAAAAGTTTCTAATGGGAACTTGATCCATGGAAGTGTCAATTCATTTTCATGTGTTGTTTCTTTTTAATAGCCTAATTCACGGCCTATTTCTATTTCTCTATCTATGCATTTCCAGCTGACAATGCCAATCTCATGGTCATTTCCCCCTCATTCATTTTCAGTGAGGAATCAAGCACCAGGCTCCCAACTATGTATCCACCACCACTTCTGTCAATATCCAAATGATGATCTATAAGACCCCCTGACCTCTCTGTTCCCTGACTCTCTACTAACCACCATACCAAGTAAACATGCCTTCTCACAATCTGAAACTATCTATCCACACCTCACAAAAATAACATCAGCATGTTATTTTTTAAATTACACAAATATTTTATGTTCATTAATGCAGAAGTAGTCAACAGATATTTTCTCTGAGCAAATAAAGGCCACTGGATGGGACCTCCTGTATCAACTTCCTGGCACCTATCCTGGCTTTCTCTGCCTTCCCTCCTACAATAACGGAGGGTCAACCAAGCCGCTTATCCAAGGCCGACCCCCCCAACTGGGCACATGGTACTATTCCCTCTTGCCTCTGTGTAGACTTTGCCCCTATATTATTGTTTCTCTTCCCCCTACATTGACAATTTTTCTTTCTAATGAATCAACATACATTCTCTAAACTCTCCTATCTCTTTTTTTCTGATAAGTATCTTTGTGAATTTTATTGAGTTTACCTTAAATTTATGGATCAACTTAAGAACTAAAAGGTTGGGCGCCTGGGTGGCTCAGTTGGTTGGGCGACTGCCTTCGGCTCAGGTCATGATCCTGGAGTCCCGGGATCGAGTCCCGCATCAGGCTACCTGCTCAGCAGGGAGTCTGCTTCTCCCTCTCCCGCTCCCCCCTCTTGTGCTCTTTCTCTCTCTCACTCTCTCTCAAATAAATAAATAAAATCTTTAAAAAAAAAAAAAAGAACTAAAAGGTTTTTTTTAAAGATTTTATTTTATTTATTTTTTTAAACATTTTATTTATTTATTTGACAGAGAGAAACACAGCGAGAGAGGGAACACAAGCAGGGGGAGTGGGAGAGGGAGAAGCAGGCTTCCCGTGGGGCAGGGAGCCCGATGTGGGGCTCGATCCCAGGACCCTGGGATCATGACCTGAGCCGAAGGCAGACGCTTAATGACTGAGCCACCCAGGCGCCTCAAGAACTAAAAGTTTTTAAATATCCTTTCCATCCAGAAGCACAGTCTGGCTTTCCATTCAATCAGTTCTCTTCTTATTGCCATCAGGAATGTTTGTAGCTGTCTTCATTTTTATTTTATTTTTTTAATTCCAGTATAGTTAATATACAGTGTTATATGAGTTTCAGGCATACAATATAGTGATACAATTCTATGCATTACTCACTGCTCATCATAAGTGTACTCTTAGGCCTATCTTTAAAAAAAAAAAACACACAAACCTCCCTTGATCTTATTTCTCCTTCATCTCGTTTCTTTGCTTCTCCTCCCAGCAAAAGACATTTAAAGAATCATCTATACTCACTCCCCCATCTCTCATGTGCTCCTCACTGCTCTCCATTCAGGACTTATATCCCCAATATGCCTCTGAAACTGCTCTTAAAATCACCAGCAACCTCCAGGCTGTCAAATCCAATGGTCAATTTTCTCTGCTCCCATCATTCAACCTCTTAGCATTTGATTCAGTTGAAAAACTTTGCCTGGCTTCTGTGTGACCACCCTCTCCTGGAGAGGCTCCATCTCAACCTCCTCTGTTAACACTCTCTTCCTGTTTCCTGTCCTTGAATTCAATACACCAAGTTACAGACATGGTGTCCCATCGGTATCTCAAGCTTGGCATGGACAAAACTGAACATATCCTGAACTTCCCAGAAAAAAAAACTGCATTCCCCCCCACCATCTACATCTCAGAAAATGGCAAGTCAGCTCACCTAGACAAGATGGACACATTCTGATATATAAAAATTAAACTGCACAAAGTCAAAAGACAGCCTTAGAGGAAATATTGGCAAAACATGCATATGAGGGGTGCCTGCGTGGCTCAGTCGGTTAAGCATCTGCCTTTGGGTCAGGTCATGATCCCAGGGTCCTGGGATTGAGCTCCATGTTGGGGGAAGGTCCCTGCTCAGCAGGGAGCCTGTGTCTCCCTTTCCCTCTGTGCCCCCCTCTGCTATGCTCTCTCTGTCAAATAAATAAATAAAATCTTCAAATATAAAGTTCATATGAGGAATTTCCTAACAAAGCTCTCATTTCCGTAACACACAAACAGCGCTAATGCTCCTACTGTAGAAATAGCTCTAAGAAGAGAAATGTTGCTGTACTCTCCTCAACACTTAAAGAAATGCAAAATAAAATTGTGAGACTGCTTTTCTTTAAGATTGGTAAACATTTCAAAGACTGAAATATTTCCATCCTTGTCAATATCGGCAAACAGGCAGTTTCCACAGCCTGCTGTTGACAGTGCCAATTGGTACAGTAAAGCTGAAGCATAATTTGATGGTAGCTATTAAAATAGTAAAATATCTTCACTGAGGTGATGGTTGCATGACTCTGTAAAATTTACTAAAAATGGGGGCGCCTGGGTGGCTCAGTCGTTAAGCGTCTGCCTTCGGCTCAGGTCATGATCCTGGGGTCCTGGGATCGAGCCCCGCATCAGGCTCCCTGCTTAGTGGGGAGTCTGCTTCTCCCTCTCCCTCTGCCTCCTCTTCCCCACTGCTCATTCTCTGTCTCTGTCTCAAATAAATAAAACAAAACCTTTAACCTAGCAATTACATTTCAACAAAATCAAAAATCCTTTACTTGGGTGAAAAAAAGAAGTTGCAGAATAATATAGACTCTAATAATTATTATCGCTAACCGTATTTTTAAAAGCTGAAGAATAGATATACAATTTATACTTTTATGAACAGAAACCACTACCGAGGTAAGAACAAGTGTCCCACACAAAGCAGTGAATTGGACTACAAATTCCACTCTACATCCGCATACCAGGTCATCTCAGAGAGGCCAAATAAATAGAAGCAAGGCTGAAAGCCCCCCAGGAATAAAGCCGGTCCCCAAACTCATACTGATCTTACTTTGATCGCTTTCAATCCGTATGTTTTATCTTCTCCCACAATGGCACTGACTTCTTGTCCAACTTTCAGAGAGACATCGCCAGTCACAACATCACTACTGAAGTAGATCAACTCATCAATCAAGCCATAATCACTACAGATCTTCGTCACAACTCCTTGTACAGTTTTTAACCCGGTGCCACCTAAGAGATGAGTAAAGAAAATGTTTCATTAGTTAATATCCCAAGCAAATTACACATGAGAAATAAGGCCTACCGCAGGAAGAGATGGTAGATGACGATCTAAATCGAGAAAGAAATTGGACTTTGTTTGAGATAGATGACCGTGACAGAGGAGCATAGTGATTAAGTGTTTGGGAGGCAGAAAGCTCCAGTTGAAAGATTGATGTCACCATTTTTCTGTAAGGCACAGTGGCCCAATGCCCTTGGTAGTGGCGCTCCGCTGGAGAAGGCAGAGTCTGGAACCAGACTGCCTGGCTGTGAACACTGCTCTTCCCTTTCCCATCTGTGTAACCCTGGGCACATTTCTTAACCTCCCGGAATGTGTTTTCATCTGTAAAACCAGGGCATAACTAATGTCTGCCTAGGAGAGTGGATCTTAAATGTTCTCACCACACACACACACACACACACACACACACGCAGAGGATAATTATATAAGGTGATGGATGTGTTAATGAACCTTATTGTGCAATCATTTCACAATATATACATATAACAAGTCATCATGCACACCTTAAACTTACAGTGTTATACATAATTATGTCTCAGTAAGGTGGGGGGAAAGGGTTGTTATCATTATGAACTGACACATACACGTCAACTGCTTAAAACTGTGAATGCCTCACACAGGTTAGAGCTAACACGGTAGTTGTTGTCATGCTTTCCGCATCTAGACAGACTTTATTTATTTATTTTTTTTTAAAGATTTTATTTATTTATTTGAGACAGAGAGAATGAGATACAGAGAGCATGAGAGGGAGGAGAGTCAGAGGGAGAAGCAGACTCCCCGCCGAGCAGGGAGCCCGATGCGGGACTCGATCCCGTGACTCCAGGATCATGACCTGAGCCGAAGGCAGTCGCTTAACCAACTGAGCCACCCAGGCGCCCTAGACAGACTTTAAACAGCCATTACTGTTACAGAATTTTATCATTATCAACTAGAGCGACCGCGGCAGCAATGCCTGGAGATTACTCAAACATCTCACCAGAGAAAAGCACATAAAGAGATCTGGGGCTTCAAATCTAGCCCAAATGTGCATCCAAACCACTCCGGTTTATTTTTTTTCTGAACACAGCTAGTAAGCCATAATTTGGGGTCTGAACCTAGAGAGTAAACCTGCAGAGCCCATTATGAACCACAACGCGTTAGGTGCCCCCCCAAAATGAGGCTGCGAGAAATGGACAGGGAGGCTGGGAGAAACATTGATTATGACTGATGATGGTTTCTGAAGCCAAAAAAATCCTGAAAACTTTTATTTAAAGATTTGATTTATTTGAGGGGCACCTGGGTGGCTCAGTCGGTTAAGCATCTGCCTTCGGCTCAGGTCATGATCTCAGGGTCCTGGGATTGAGCCCTGACTCCGGCTACCTGATCAGCAGGGAGTCTGCTTCTCCCTTTCCCTCTGTGCCCCCCTCTGCTTTATGCTCTCTCTCTGTCAAATAAATAAATAAAATCTTTAAAAAATAAAATAAAATAAAGATTTGATTTGTTTGAGACGGTGTGTGCCCACGAGTGGGGGGATAAGGGCAGAGGCAGAGGGAGAAGCAGACTCTGCTGAGCGGGGGGCCCGACTGGGGGCTCGATCCCAGGACCTGGAGATCACGACCTGAGGTGAAGTCGGCCGCTTAACCGACTGAGCCACCTAGACGCCCCCTGAAACCTTTTTAAAAAATGGGACAAATTCGTCAAATGAAATCATAAAACACAAGAAAATGGAAGGGACAAGGGTGACAACTGCCACTTAGGCTCATGAAAATATCTCAGAAACTCTTCTGTATTGTCCCATTGGCAAAAATACGGCTAAGAGGGGCGCCCGGGCGACTCAGTCGGTTGGGCGTCTGCCTTCGGCTCAGGTCATGACCCCAGGGTCCTAGGATCGAGCCCCGCGTTGGGCTCCCTGCTCGGCGGGGAGCTTGCTTCTCCCTCTGCCTCTGCCCCTCCCCTTGCTTGTGCTCGCTCTCTCTCTCTGTCAAATGAATAAATAAAATCATTAAAATAAATACGGCTAATGGACGCAGCAGCGAGAGCTTCCCGCTCAAGCTAAGCAGCAGCTCTCCGCGGCCCAGCCCGCTGAGACTCGGCCTCCCCTGTGGGCCTCACTCTCCGGGGCAGAGGAGCTGCGGGCCGATCCGGGCACCAGGAAGGCCGGGGCGCTGCTGGGAGGATGACGCCGACCACAGACGGGGACCCTTCTCCGCTCCGGAGCCCCCCGCGCACTCACCCTGCAGAAGGAGGCGCCCCAGAGGCGGGGGCCCCACGGCAGGGAATGGCTGCCGGGCCTCGGGGTCTGGGGGACACCAGCCGGGTGCCCGCTCTCCCCTGCGCGTGTCCCCCTGCCCCGGCTGTAACGGGGACCCGACGACGCTCCCGCCTCCCTGCGGGGTTTTCTGAGGACCACGTGGCGGGAATGCTCCGCACAGACAAGGGCTCCTTAGGTCCATGCTTCGGAGCAGGCCCGCCGTCCACCGCAGCGAACGTTCTCAGTGTTCACGGTGCCCCCGACACAGCGATGCCTGCCCTGCTGTCCCCTGAGTCACCCCCTCAGTGCCAGACTCTGGGGCAGGATTTCAGGATACAAAGGTGAGCCACTTCAGTGTGGCCCGTGTCCTCCTACCAGCGACAGACCCAGGACTTGGCCACTTGGCTTCAGATACACGCGTGTTTGGGAAACGCAATCAAATGCACCCTCAAATCAGGGGGATCCACTACTACTGGAAATATGAGAAGGAATCTGTTGCACATTTACATAACATATGCACAATGTAAGTTCCAAAGGCACTTTGGGGGAAATGCAAGCTCCCCCGGGGCCTTCTCTGTCTACACCACCATCCCTTTGGACAGGAGGAGGCTTCTGGGTATGCTCAGGGACTCCGGGATGCCTCTTCCCACAAGGAGGCGCTGCCATGGCCATGCAGCCCCCTTCTGAGCCCCCCGAGGCTCTGAACCAGGAGAGGGGAGCACCCTTAGGTGCAGGCCCCTGGGAGGGAGAAGACGAAATAAATACCTTCCAAGAGCCTCATATGCTGCTCCCTCTCGGCCTCGGACGAGTCCACCCTCCTCCGGAAGAAGGCAAGAGCCCTGGAAATAAACCGAAGCATGGTCCCGTCGTTAGGGCAGCCTGGGCCCCCCAGACACAGCACCAAGCTCGCTTCTGTCCAAGTCTCTGCCACCCAGCCGCACTCCGACCACAGCGGCTGTTCAGATGCGGCGCCCGCCCCGCTGCACCGCCCGGCGTCTAGCCAGCTGCCTACACGAGCCGCGGCGCAGGCTGCCGCCTGAGGGGCCTTAAGGGGCCGCGTGCCCACCATCCAGCCAATGGGGGCGTCGGGGGCTCAGTGCAAGCCACCCGGAGGCTGGGAGCTGAAGGGTGGGACTTCGTGGCTCCTCCCACCACGGGCGAGGGCGGAAATATGGTGGCCCAGCAGAAATCACTTCCAGTGCGACCTCGTTTGGCACCTCTTAGAGGGTCTCTGTGCGCTTCTGATGCCTGTCTTGGAAGGTGGCACAGCAGCTTGCCCCGAGGTTGGAGGCAGGCCCCAGGCTCTGGCTCCCAGGTGTGCAGCCCCCAGTCCTCACTGCGTGAATTCTTTTCTCTTCCTTCGCCTCTAAGTGCCCTCCACCACCAGCCCCCATCAGCCCCACCTCCTCACCCCTACACCCACTCCACGGGGAGATCAATGGTCAGCTCTAAGCAGCGGCTTTCTGTCCGGTGTTAAATGATACCGCAGATGCTGTGGAGAAGCCGAACTTGCACGTCCACATGGGTCTCAAACCATAGGCTGTGTCTTGCTCTTCTTGGAAGGGAGCCGACTGTGCCAAAGCACTCACTATGGGGCCCAAGAGCCACTTTTAAGTACGATCTGGAGATGAGGATGGCTAGGTAAGGAGGGCCCGGTGACGGAGCATGATGCGGGGAGTTTGGATTGCATCACTTTTATTTGGGGGACCAGGCGGACATCACATTATGAATATTAAATGAAAGAAAAAGAATATTAACTATTTTAACAGCAAAATGAGTTGATTCGGGAATAGCAGACCAGTTGCAATTCAGGACACATGAACCATGGTGAACTGTAAGCAGGTACAGAGTACAACAAAAAGCTTTCTTTGATAGAGGAGAGGAAGCTGGGACAGGTGGTTTTGAAGAAAAGTCATTAGAGGAGAGTGAGAGTCCAGGGTTTTGATGGCCTTTCATTGGCTGAGTTGTAGTTTCTCATTGGTGGGGCTGTTGCTGAGCCAGGAGGAAATCTTCCTTCCTTCTGCTGCAGTAGCAAAGTAGGCTCCTGCCTGTTGGGGGCCAAAAATGCTGTTGACAAGTGGTGGTATGTGAGAGCTCCCCTTTTAGGGCTTCCACACTCTGTCTTAAATGAGGTTGCCTTTATTCATTTTCACATTTTCCCCTTTTGATCAAGATCTTCCCTCAAAAGCATCACCAATCAAGAGTCAGGTTTTCTACATTCAGTGGTTTTGTCCCTTAGTACCACGCAGGAACTTCCTTGGTTGCCATATCTCACATCGGAGGGCAACCGTTGAGATCACACTTAGTAATAAGAAAGGGTAGGAGGGAGAGCTCTCAGGCATTCACATCTAAAGTGTGTATTTTGGGGCGCCTGGGTGGCTCAGTCGGTTGGGTGGCTGCCTTCGGCTCAGGTCATGATCCCAGCGTCCTGGGATGGAACCCTGGGTAGGGCTCCCTGCTCAGCAGGAAGCCTGCAAGCCTGCTTCTCTCCGTCTCCTCCCCGGCTTGTGCTCTCTGCTGCTATCTCTGTCTCTTTCTCAAACAAATAAATAAAATCTTAAAAAAAAATAAAGTGTATATTTTATCAGGTTTGTACACATTGGAGATCGTCTCAAAGTGCTGGGCTAGTATCACCCTATTAGGTAGATTGTTTCTACAAAGGCTTATCAGGCTCATATACAAAGTTTAAAAACGAAGCAGAATTAAAAGTAGTATGACAAATCCAGCTTGAGCAATGGTTCCAAACCTGGAGCCCCAACCTGAAGGTAACCAGCTAAAGAGATCAAAGGACCGTGGATTGTCAGATGAAATTCACTGTAGCCGATGTGCTTGTTCTCTCATTTTATGCAACTGGCTTTCTACTTCTCCAGAGGGATTTCTGCAAGTGTAGCAGGTGGTATTGGCTACGGCAAAAGCAGCTCCTTTTTCAACAAGTAGATGATCAAGGGCTGCACGATTATCCCAAACCACGTTAGCTGGTGAGTCAAGTGATTGCTGTTGAGCTGCTACTGCTTCAGCTTGTGGACTCAGCTACCTCTCCTAATGTAAGGGAGAGATTTCTGACCGTGTGTTCACTGGCGTTTACTCTGACCCAAGGAAGAAAGGCTCTCCCTACAGAGGCAAACCCAGAGACACGTACATCTCCTGGAAGTTCCCATTTAAGGCAACTGTGGAGGTTTAATGGGATGGGCCGATGGGAAGCCTCTGCTTTATTTTGGATCCTGACACGGATGGCTAACCAACCCAATAAACACTGACCTCCAATTCGCCAGCTACCTAGTCATATGCCCGTGGCAAAAGCCATCCAGCGCCAGACAAAAATGAAACCAGGTGGAGCTCCGAATACTCTAGCTGGGGTCTGGTTGTTGATAGATCCATGAGCCAGAATTTCCCGATTGACGCTTTCAAGCCAGGAATCACAGGAGTTGGGATGACATCCTGTGAGAGGCCATCCATCCTCAAAGAGTCCTTTTCTAAAAATCCCGCAAAGAGGAATTAGCCGATTTGCATTTCCCCTGGGCGCAGGGAGACAGGACACACTTAGATAAGGAAAGGAGCATGAGCTGGTGAAGATTATACAATTGGCAAACTTGGAGTGATTTAACTGAGCCAGTACAGTTATGGGTGAAGAAAGACGGAGACAAGGTATGGGGACAGTGGGCCATAATAGTGTCACTTGAGAGGTAACATCCATAAGCTTGTGGGTATAACTTAAAGTGGCGTTTGGGATTAAGGACACATTGGTGACGTGTAAGACCAAGGGGTCTCTGACACCATGAACAGATCCAGCAGTGTGAAAGCTTTCCCCCTTTTGCAATAGATTGGATAAGAGCATTATTTTCCCAAGACCAAGAGGGAGAAAATAAGGTAAAAAGCAGCTGTAAGAAAATGGTATGCTTTACACATAATAACTGAACATTAGCCTACTGGCACTGATAATTTAAACCACTTCCAGTGAGGTGTAGAAATCTTACTTCTATTTAGGTCCTTTGAACATTTTCAGTTTTTGTTTTTTTAAACCTGTGCACCTTTTCATTTTTTATTTTTTAAAATATTTTATTTATTTATTTCACAGAGAGACACAGCGAGAGAGGGAACACAAGCAGGGGGAGTGGGAGAGGGAGAAGCAGGCCTCCCACCAAGCAGGGAGCCCGATGCGGGGCTCGATCCCAGGACCCTGGGACCAGGACCTGAGCCGAAGGCAGACGCTTAACGACTGCGCCACCCAGGTGCCCCAACCTGTGCACCTTTTTAAAAGTTTTTATTTATTTACTTATTTGAGAGAGAGAGATCACAGGGGAGTGGCAGAGAGAGAATCCTAAGCAGGCTCCATGCCCAAGGCAGAGCCCAATGCAGGGCTGGATCTCATGACCCTGAGATCATGACCTGAGCCCAAACCAAAGAGCCCGTTGCTTAACCGACAGAGCCACCCACACACCCCAGTCTTTTCACTTTTAAATATAAATGTCAAGTATTTCCTCCTCATCAGATGACATAATTTTTGCTTCGACCATCAAAAGAATTTTTAAAACTCAGGAGGAAGATAGTTTATTATATTTCCTCCTATTTTTACTCATTCCAGTCACTCTTTCTCCTTCCTAAAGTGCCATCCTCCTCAGGTGATCACTTCCTTTCTGTTTAGGAAACTTCTCTTAGCCGTTTTTTTTTTTTTTTAAGATTTTATTTATTTGACAAAGAGAGACACAGCGAGAGAGGGAACGCAAGCAGGGGGAGTGGGAGAGGGAGAAGCAGGCCTCCCGCCGAGCAGGGAGCCCGATGCGGGGCTCGATCCCAGGACCCTGGGACCATGACCTGAGCCGAAGGCAGACGCTTAACGACTGAGCCACCCAGGTGCCCCTCTTTTTTTTTTTTTTTTTAAGATTTATTTATTTATTTTGAGAGAGAGAGAGAGACACGCGCGTGCAAGCATGGGGGGGCGGGGAAGGAGCAGAGAGAGATGGGGAAAATCTCAAGCACACTCCCTGCTGAGCACTCTGAGGTAGGGCTCTTGGTCTCTTGCCACTGAGACTATGACCTGAGCCAAAACCAAGAGTCGGTCGCTCAACTGACTGAGCAACCCAGGTACCCCTTCTCAGCCATTCTTTAAAGATATGTCTACTGGCCAAAATTTCTCTTAATTTTCCTTCATCTGAGAATGTCTTTATTTCCCCTTCATTTCTGAAGGATGTATTCACAGAGATGGAATTGGTGTTTGGGTGGTAAAGTGAACCACTGATTAGTCCTACTCCTTACCACCTCCTTCAGTTTCTTTGATGCTTCAGGTTTGCCTTTTTTCCCTTGACCGAGTAGGAAGGATATATATATCAGTATATATGACTTTGCTGAGTTGCTTAAACAGTTATAGAGAGGCCACCGAGATGTTCAAGTGCGGTGGTGAACAGGCATTTTGAGAGTCTAAATACTCAAGCCAGCTCTCCTTGTTAAAACTGGGGCAGCATCCTTGTGAATCTACTTCTAGCAGATAGCTTTTTTTTTCTTTTTTAAAGATTTTATTTATTTATTTATTTGACAGAGAGAGACACAACGAGAGAGGGAA